TAAATGAATAAATATTTTCTCATTGTTAATTTTCTGAAATGGTGAATATCAGTGGATAAACCCCCACAAACAAAATTTTAAGGGTCCTAAATAATTTTAAAAGGGCTCTGAGAGCAAAAAGTTTGAGAAGCACTAACATGTATTAGCAACTATTTTTCACTGAAATAATGGATCAAATTCTACCTACTGTTTACCTTTCCTTTTTAATTAATGATTATACCTCAGACAATAATAGTGAGAACAGCTACACTTAGTATTTACTACTGATGAAGTTCTGAGCCAGGGGTTTTGCTTGAATTATTCCCTTTAATCCTTGCACCTATTCTATGAAGTGGGTGCTAAAGCAGCACCCTGGGCACTTCTGTTGCAGGTGGCTGTTAGCTGACACTGTCATAAATGTTCACTATCCATGTCACTTTGAATAAGCAATGATGTCAAGAGTTGTTAGGAAAATTAAATGAGTTTAACATTTGTAGGCACTTAGAACAATCCCTAGAACACAGTAAACACTATCGAAATGTTTGTCATTGAGATGATATTTAATGCTCTGAGACAGAATGTAGTCACCAAGGACTGGCCTAGGGACACCACACATTTTGTAAATTAGGAAGATAAGGAGAATCCAGAAAGGAGGCTATAAGATTTTAGGAGAAGAGAGCATGGTTTCCTAAAATCAAGTACATAAAATGTTTCAAGAATGGCCTGGTGATCTGAGTCAAATGAGAGGCCAGGATATGGGAAGAGGTGGTGTTGCAGGGGAAAACTGAACCAAGAATGAGGAAGAATGGCTTAGAGATCTGTAGGAAACAGCAAAAAAGGAAAGGAAGCAGATGATAAAGTCAGAGAGTCCACAGTCAACTTTCTAAGGAGCTGTATATTCTAAGGAAACGAGGCAAACTATGATTTGGAAGTATGCAAGAGGGGCAAGGGAGACCACTACCCCACCAGGACCCCACCCAAACCTCCAAGTTCGTTTGTACTTTCTGCCCAGGGATGTCTCTTCAGATAATCTCATCTGACAGAACAGCCTTCTAAACTAGGCTAACCAAGTCCAGGGGTGCTTTAGAGGTTTGTACGCGTACGCACACTAAGAGAAGCCCAGAATACCAACAAGCAGGGTGGGCAAAACCACATGTCTGCCCTGAAATAGATCCAATCCCCTCAGGATTCTCTAGACCAAAGATTCTTAATGGGGAATAATTTTGCTCCCCCAGGGGACATTTAGCATGCCTGGAGAAATTTTTTTGGTCACAACTGGTGAGTGATAGGGTTGTGGGTTGCAATTGGCATCCAGTAGGTTGAGGCCTGGGTTGCTGGGAACCCCCCTATCATGTGCAGGACAGCTCCCTACTGCAAAGAGTTATCTGTCCAAAATGTCAGTAGTGCTGAGAAACCCTACTCTAGACCAAGTGACCTGGGCAAAGGAGCTTTTGTGTTCTTCATACGGGCAGACTCGCCCAGCCATACAGCTTTATCTATATCACTTCTGGAAGGGCACACTAAGTCATCAGCGTGTGGATTCCATTCCAAATCTACTCAAACAGGCCCAGGAAAAAACAGACTAAAACCATGAGGCTAGCTAAACGGTAGCTGTTAAGGGGAAAAGGAAATTATGATGTATATTAGGGGTTAAAGAGGCAAAATCACCAAAAATGAGAACAAGCACAAAGACTTTTCCTTATATTTAATAAAGCAAAAAAAAGTAACCGTTTGCATTTTTAATATAAATAACACCTTATTAACAGGTATCCTCAAACTATGGCCCACGGGCCACATGCAGCCCGCCTAGGACATTTATCTGGCCCGCTGGGTGTTTTTGCCACCGCTGCCTGTCCTGCTTAGCAGCTGACTCATCCCAGGGCCCACAGTCCAGCCTTCCAATGGTCTGAGGGACAGTGAATTGGCCCCCTGTTTAAAAAGTTTGAGGACCCCTGCCTTATAGGAAAGTTCAAAAGCCAGCATGCTATCTTAGCTCTGCTCATTGCCAAAACAGTCCTTCAGCAGTAAGGTGCTGTTTCCATACTTTTAATTGCAAAAGGAAGCTAATTAAAGTGAGGTTTAAGAAAAAATATCCTGGGCATTCAAAATGATCCACATGTTGCTGTAAGAAAAATGAGAAGTCACGAATCTTGACATGAAGGAATCGAGGTGTGTCTACCTTATCAATATTTCATCAATAGGATAGCCATGGAAATACAAGACATTATTGGCTGCTGGCCTTCCCAGAATTCCCTTTCATTCTCTTTCAGGATATCTCACCATTAATAGTTTTCCCTTCATTAAGGCATTTCCAGAGGAACTTTACAAATGACTCTGCTTTTTTACAAATGACATGGAAGGCATTCTAATACATTGGCATCCGCTCTAGGAAATTTAAACCCGTGCATACAGAGAGAGGATGAGAGTGTCTTAGTGAGAAATTAGCTCCTCCTGCCTGAATGCTTCATCAGCAGGCTGCCGAAATCCACTGAGCTGCTTTATCAGAGGAAGTCTTCAAGCAAGATGGGCTTAAGTGCACATTGTTAAAGGAGTTGACCCCTCCTCTGTGGTTTATGCATGACTCATGCCCTGAGAGGAGTCAAACAAGTTAGGTTGACCAACAACTGTCTCCTGCAAGGCTGAGACCAGCCGCAGCTTTAACAGAGAGAAGGGCCTTCAACCTCTCCTCCTGTTTGTGGTGCAAGAGTTGATAAAAGGAGTTCTTGTAAAGTAAATATTTCTCTTCAAAACACATCTGATAGTGCTCCTTACAGGACAGTTAAAACAATAGGGCCCATGTCCCTTGGACACTCCATAAACCTAGGGAAAAGGTGACATGTGTTATTATCCTAAGACTATGACAGATTCTTAAGAACTGTAACACACACACACATACATATACACAGATACACACATGCATAAGTAGGTCTATATATGTGTATGTATATACATATGTAGAGAGAGAAAGAGATCCCTTAATTGAGTAATTGATTCATTTAAAAAAAGAAAGTAAAAACATTCCTAAATGTCCATCAGGAAAATGGTCAAGTGAATTTGGCCATTAGGGAAATAATACTAGAGGAATAATTATCAGCCTGCCTGCTAATGTCAGGTGTTTTCACATTATCTCATTTAATTCTCCTCATCAGTTACCCTCTAGGTAAAAATCATTCCCCCCATTTTACAGAAGACTAAATGAAAAGCCCACAAAAGGCAAATGGCCTTGAGTCACAAAGCTAGGGAACAGCAAAGCTGACATTCACACCCAGGGTTTTGGACTCCCTGTCCAGTTTCCTCCACTGCATCCCAGACTCTCTCCCTGTATTTGGATAAGGTCAATAAATAGAATTGTAAATATAAAATAATGCTAAAGTAAAAGCAAATCATAGTGCGGAAGTATTGATTTTAAACACGTGAAAGATACAGTGACAGGAAAAATGAAATAGCATCATCAGAATTTGTTCTTCCTGTTCAGTTGCTTAGATACATAGTAAGGAAAATCACCAAAATCTGCTCCTACATCTGTGCCAGTTCCAGGATAATTAAAGTTAAGAGAGGCAATAATATAAAAACAACTTGTTAAGGATTGGATGAGGCGTAGGTAGGTTAAGATAAAGAAATACCCAACCCTTCCTGAAATGCCCAGCTCCCTCAGAGCCGAAGTGACTGGCCGAGTTTCTTTGATAGAGGGATGGAATTTCTGCAGGTCAAAAAGTTTGAGAGCGAGTCTCTGCAGAAATCTCCCTTTTTAAAGTTAGCACTTATGCTATATACCAATCATTCTTTAAATTCTTTCTTCAACCAAAAGATTTTAATCTGGGGATGTACCCTTTGTGGTGGCTTTGCCTGAAAGGCATCTATCATCTTCAGTCAAATAGAGTTATTTTATTATGATCCCCTCTTGTTCTTCTCAGATTTGGGAGCTATCTGTCTGTTTAATGGAGCAGCAAGAGCCCAAGCATGGGTCTTATTTGGGCGTCCTCACATTGGCTCTAATTTGCGGAAATAACGAGGGATGGGCCTTGAGAGTAGGGTCCCTCCTTCAAAGAGTAACTGGAAATTTGCATGAATAACTGCCTTCCAGAAAGAAACTGGGAAAAGGCTCACTAGGTTGGCATAATCTTGTGCTGAAATGCACGTGCTGAGACGTGGACAAGATGCCACTTAGATTTCCCCTTTGGTTCTTTCATTTTTACAGTTGGCAGTTACCTGGGTCTCCTAATGCAGGAACCAAGGAGAAGAACAAAATATTGACACAGACTTTCTGAGGTTGTTTGTAAAAAGAAAATAGTTTATAAGTACAATTCATACTGCTGTCAGTTTCTTCATGAAAAATACTTTGTACTAACAATTAAAATACTAAAAAATATTTCTTACTAACAAAAAATGGAAATAAAAGTTCCTCAACTGGTTTTGTTTTAAAGTTATATAGAAATAACTTCCTTTGGTTCTCTTGTGTTTTAAAACACTCTCCTATTTCTTCTCTTCTTAATTATTATGTTGACTACTACTAATAAAGTATTCTGGTTCAAGAATCTAGGAAAATGTATGGAATGACTACAATAGGATTAACTGATAATATTACTAAATTGAGGGCAGCAATTTGACCCATAATTTATTTAAATCTTCATAACAAGTGAACACAGAAACAGTCAGTTCAAATGACTGATCTCATTATTGGCACCTAACTATAATCCTGAAGGTTTAACAATAAGGACATCTATTGATTTTTTTAAAATATGTCAGTCTCTCTATTAAAAGCTTTGCATGTATTATCTCATTTAATAGACACAATAACCCTAAGTGATTGTGAGGACTGTCATGATTATCCCTATTTTAGAGATGAAGAAAGCAACTTGCCCAAGATCATTCATCTAGTAACTTGAGAGTTACAGCTGAACCCAGATGGTCTGGCTCCAGAGTCCATGGGACCACGACATCATCAGTGGGGCTATTCAGCAGGCTCCTACATCTCTAAGCCAGGTGCACTGGAACCGATTCTAATACAAGTTCACACTCACATCTCTCATCATTTTCACTGCTTCCCTGGTCCTTCCAAGTCTTCTGGCACACATCGCTAGCCTTCTTTTGATGTAGACCAAAACATTGGTGTCTCGTCCTGAAAACGGAGATATAAAATACCAAAATTAAAAAAAATAAATAATAACAGCTTTCAGTTGAGCAGCACAAAAATACAAAGAGGCCCATTTGCCTTTGTCTTAATGGAAACCTCACAGGCAGTTCCTTCGGCATTTCCTTACTGCCAGGAGTACTGACAGCTTTGTTCACAGCAGAATGAATACAGAGTAAAGCAAAAATACTTAGACTTCCAAAGGTCAAATCACATGGCTACTCATCTAATCCATGCTTTTGAGTTAGGATGTGGAATATTTGATAAAAAATAAAATCATCCATCTACTACAAACTGCTTGGAAAGTGAACATACCCACGTTGCATTCAGTTTACAAGCAAGAATTCCACATTCTTCCAGGGCGCATGGTTTCGGTGAAGATGCAAAGAGGTGAATCTCAGGTTGCATCCTGATGAACTATTTTTTTTCCTTCTTGACATTAAGTCTGGAGAAGCCTCATCTTGAACTTCTGCTTTATATTATTCTTTCCCTAACACTAGTGACATCATAATCATCTCCAGGTCCCCAAAGCAGTTGATTTTAGATGGCAATATAACACATTCCAGATATGACAATAGAGTATGCAACAAAATGAAAAACCACCCTGGTGTTGGAGAAAGCATTGACAAGCTAAATAGTTATAACCATAGTCACTAACATGGCTCTTAAAAAGTACATTAACAACTTCTTATCTTAATCTTCTATTTAATTGTATGTCTTTTTGGATATGTTTCCAGACCAGTGAAGACACGCATGTGCTTAATCCTCAATAAAATTACCATGTTTGAGAAAAATATGACACACCTGTTATAGATTAAGCACACGTATAATATGCAGCTATTAAAAGATGTTAAGACCAAAGTCCTAACATTTCAAGTTTTAAACAATGAGAACAAGATGTGTGCTGAAAATTTGCCAAGTGCCTACAAATTATTTTAAAGATGTGATTATATTTTTTGGATAGATTTAGGCAACAGGTTGACAGGATTTAATTTAGAAAAGAAAAGAAAGAAAATTTCTTAAGTTGTATTATGGGTTATGTAATTTTCTGTATTCATGTCCATTTAGTTTAACAAAGACATGTTTTCAAATTGCATGCTATTTTTTAATAAAAATTGAGAAACATATGGTGATAAGAAACTTTATTAAACATATACTCACAGCAGAATAAAAGTAAAAATCTGTGTACTGAGGGATTATGTGGACATACCCATGTATACCTAGGCTATAATGCAAAGATCTTGTTGACACCTTAGTCACGGGGACTAATGCAGTCAGGTTCTAAACCAATTCAAGTTTAATATTAAAATTTAATTTATAATCTCAAATGTGAGATTTTACTCTCCAGGTTACAAGAGGGAGAAACGAGGTGAGAGAAATTCCTCCTTAAGGAAACAACCCAAATTTCGGCTGGATAATTAATACGGTCTCCTCTCACAAGGATTTCTAAGCGGTTCTCAACCTGTGGGTCGCAACCCACAGGAACTATATTAAAGGGCTGTGGCATTAGGAAAGCTGAAAACCACTGTCCTTAAACAAAGAGATGAGTCAGGGGGCTCAGGGAATTTTGGAAATAATTTTGTTGTCTCGTTTCTACTCTGTTCCCCTCAAATGTCACTGAATCTCAGCCTAGTATACTGAAGTGAAAGGTCTTAGATTTTAAAGAGTAAGCTTTGGCTTGGTGCCTGTGGCTCAAGCACCTAAGGTGCCAGCCACATACACCTGAGCTGGTGGGTTCAAATCCAGCCCAGGCCTGCCAATTAACAATGATGGCTGCAACCAAAAAACAGCCAGGCATTGTGGTGGGTGCCTGTGGTCCCAGCAACTTGGGAGGCTGAGGCAGGAGAATCTCTTGAATCCAGGAGTTGGAGGTTGCTGTGAGCTGTGACGCCATGGCACTCTACCCAGGGCAACAGCTTGAGGCTTTGTCTCAAAAAATTAAAAAAACAAAGAGTAAGCTTAGATAAGAAAAGGCGTTATTTTTAGCCTTAATTCTTTTTTTTTTTTTTTTTTTTTTTTTGTAGTTTTTGGCCAGGACTGAGTTTGAACCCACTACCTCTGGCATAGGGGGCCAGCACCCCACTCCTTTGAGCCACAGGCACCACCCAGAAAAGGCATTATTTTTAAGATAGAAATAAGTAAGTGATAAGGAAACTCACGGCTCTTTATCTCCAGAAGCCAATACCAATGTTTCTTCAGTAGGAGCTAAATGCTGATACAATCACCAACACCCCTTATATTCCTAACTGCCCCATTTTAACCCATGTTGTAGAAGACCTATAAGTCTTAAAACATTGGGTAGCACCACCACTAATTTAAATAGAGTTTCCCACCCAGTACTTAAAGTCATGAGACAGAGAAGCAACTGACAAATAGAAATATGTAAGAATTCTATATAGAGAAAAAAGAGGGTAGACCATGAAGGTACTGCCATTTGTTTCAGGGGTTAGGAATCCACGAGCAGAGAAAAGAAGGTGAACATACACAGTGAGGAAGCTACGGATGTTACGCACTGCTCTTACAGGGAAGAAAAAAATTAATAGAAAACAAAAATAGCAAACTCCAATATGCGTTCTCACCCAGGAAAGTCGTTTTTTGAACCCCGATTAACCACTGTATAACTGATCCCCCAGGGCACTGAGCTGGAGGAAACCTTACTATGTTGGGCTTCATACTGGGATCCGTGGTGCTGTAGCTGCTGAGAACGCCGGTAACAGCCATCGCCAGCCTTCAGGGCCTGCTTAAATAGTTTTTCTGCTTCAGCAATGGTTGTTGCTTCCTCTTCAGCCAAGAGAATATAAGCAGTTGCACACCTGTCCATTCAGATAATAGCCACCATCAATTATAAATCCAGGGACATGGTAACCATCTGTAGGAGTTCATGCAGAAGGGCAAGGAGTTACACCAAAACATGCAGAGTGGCCAACTGGTTCATGCACCCCTGTTTGTAGTTGCCGACACAAAATAATGGTACAAAAGAAACATCTATATTTTAGCTTGAGAGGGAGGATGGGTAGTGTTAGGAGCATGAGGCTCACATATGGACTCTGCCCCTTATGAGTGTGTCAATTTTGGGCAAGTTATTACTCTGCCTCCCTGATGGAGCACAGCGTGAGACCTATTTGTACACCGTGTTGTTGTGAAGGGTAAGTGAGGTGATGTATGCAAAGTGCTCGGTGCAGTCCCCAGCAGGGGGTGAAGTGCTCAAAATATGTCAGGTGATCATGGTGATAAGAGCTGTTATTATGGATCTCTTTCCCACACTCAAAGTGAGAGGTACTGTATATAAGTTTACTTTGCTTGCTAAGCATAGATTCTCTTCAATCTAAGGATTTCTTTAGAGTAAGAAATTCATTAAATCAAATTACTCATTTAAAAAAAAATGGTGCAATATCTCATTCCAGTTAGCAATGATTTTTTTGCTTCAGAGCAAACTAGAAGAACCTGTAGGTAATGTCACTTCTGAAAAGCTCAAAATCTGACTCTGCCAAGGAGCTAACAAGAGGTAAATTTCATGCCTTTAACAGCAGCCGTCGTTTGCTCAGTATATACGGATTGAGCACAGCACCAAGCACTGAACATGTATCATCTCAGATAATCCTTCCAACAACCCTCTAAGACGGGAAGCAGAAAGGATGAGCAGTTGACTAGTGAATAGGGGGAGTTCTTGGAAATATCAGCCTCAGATCATGTGCGGAACAACCCACTGCCAAAGACAGGAAATGTAAGGGAAGTGATGAGGCCAGAACTGACCACACAGGGCCTGCACCCGTCCCCTCGCTTCCTTCTCCACTGCCTCTCTTGTGGCCATTCCCCTACTTATCTCCGTCAGACCACAAGAGAGAAAATAAACAGAAAGGAAAACCAAATGTGACTTTTACTGTTCATAAACTGCAACAGCCAGCTACTAAAAGGAGGCTGAACTTCGCAGCTACAGTGAGCTTGGGGGCTCACCAGTCAATCTGAGCTTTGAGGAAAGTCTTGTAAGCTCTGTAGCTGATTCCCTCTAATTTCAGGCAGGAACTATCCATGGGGCTTTAAACTCAATGTTGTGGGGAGGGAGAAAAATGTCCAGGAAAAAAAGCTGTAGAACCAATTACCATGGAGGGCAGCATATACGACGTGGAAAGAACAATAATAATGGTGGCACTGTGCAAGTGATTCACTGGAGAAAATAACTGGGATAGGCACCAGAAGAAATACTTAAGGTTTCAGATGCCAACATATACATGTGGGTTAAGGGTAATGAAGGGAAAACGGAGATTATAATACTGAGTGGTAGATACAGTATCAGAGGAATTAACTACAAGACTATACTTGGTGGGCTGGGAGCTCAAGAGTAGCTGGGGCCAGCTTGCTTGCTTTGCTTATTTGTAATTCAGTAGTTTTCTTAGGAGGAGGGGCAGAGTAGCACTCCTGGCCAGGAAACATACATCTATGTGGAAACTCATGAGTTTGGGGGAGAAACATGCTAAGAGCTTGTGAGTGAAGGAGAGAGGAGAGAGCAATAGAAGTGCTAATGGTTGGGGAGTACGGAACAGACTGCTCAGCTCGATGGAAGATATAGATGAAGCATCCTTGTCACAACACAGTACACATACAGAAGCAAGAGAGTGTGGTGATGGGGGTGTCAACCATCCAGATATCTGCTAGAAGTCTTGTTTGGTTAGAAGTAGGGCACCCGACAGGTTCTTGACTTACTTTGGTAACAATTTTATCTCCCAGATGGTAGAGGAAGCAATTAGGGGAACTTCAACTCTGGACCTGATTCTGACCAAGAAGAAAAAAATAGTTGGTGAAATGAAAATTGATAGGAACATTCAGAGAGAGTTACTGTGTCATTTTGGAGTTCTGGGTAATCAAGAGGGGACGGTGTACTTCAAAAAATTCAAAGAAAAGAGGCATGATTCAATGGTATGAGGCTCAGAAGGAAAAATGGTCTAAGAGTGTTGAACAGCTTCTAAATGTCCAATCATAACGGCTCTCACAAATGATCCTCTCAGGAAGAAAAGAGGGATGTCACTTAAGTAACCAACATGGCTTCACCGAGATTTCTCCCAGGTCAGATTTTTAAAGCACATGTAAAAAAAAGATGGAAAGAGGGTGTGTAATGAAAGACTGTAAGAGAGTGGAATGAATCTATAAGGATAACTTCCGGAAAGCTAAAACTCCAAATTAGCTGAAGCTTGCAAACAAATAAAACAAAACAAAATGCTAAAGACAGCTATTTTCTATTTTTACATTATGTGTAGGGCCCTATTACTATCCCCATTTCACCAAAGCCACCCCAAAAGCAAATAAACAAAATAAGACAAACAGCACAACACAACATCAAAACAAGGATGGCGCCTCATTAATCGCAGTAGATAATAAAGAGAAAGCAAAACTCTCTTCCTCCTAGTTTGGTCCTGGCTTCTCTATCAAGGAGAACAACTGTCAGATTGAAAAAGGGAGAAGAAATTAAACTCTAAAATGGGTGTAAGGATGTAAGATAGCAAATAACGGATCCACTCTAAATGAATTACTTGCTGGGACAGGCAAATCCTAGGAAGCCGAAAGACCTTGTAGGCAGGCCATATAATTGCTCTCTGGGGGAGAATGAGGAATCACAAAGAATGGAGAGGTACTAGAAGATGAGATGACAAATGCAGCATAAATTTTCAAAAAGGGGAAGAAGGCCGACTTCCCAAACTATAGAGCAGTGATCTGGAAAGATACTCTTACGGATTACTAAAGGGATGGTCTCCAAGCACTTTAAAAAGAAAGTAGTGACCACTGGAAGCCAGCTTAAATTCACTAAGAATAAATAAACCAGATTGTGCTAGCTTAATTTACTCTAATAGATTTACTGTAAATTAAAGATCCATAACTACCACTGACATTCTTAAGATTAAAATGGAGAAATGCAGCCTGAATCACAGCGTAACTGGGTGGCTTAGCAACCTGTGAATAATACCAAAGGATGGTGATTCATGAAGACATGAACCTGGAGGGTGGTTTTAAAATGTCATGTCACAGGTCCTGCTCCTGGACTTGATATTTTTTTCAGAAACATGGATGACACACAAAAGGCAGTCATATCAAATTTGTAGATAACAAGAACTGGAAAATAAATATGTTGCATGACAGAATCAGAAACCATACAGATCAACTGCTTACACCGGCAGGATTTCCAACTCTTCAAGAAAATCTTTTTCCTTTTTTCTAAGGTCTCTGAAGAAGATTCTGTAACCTTCTTCAGAAAAATCATAAAATAGTTTAACAATGACCACTTGGCAAGGATAGTGTTGAGGTGATTCAAGCACCAGATGGGTGGTTGAGCTAACTGACCTTTAAGGTCTCTGCCAACCCTGAGTTTTTATGACTCCAACTTTAAGAATCTTTCTCATTTTCTGAGATCTCCAGAAGAGATTTCCCAGTCTTCCTTGGTAACCCATAAAATGTTTAACAACACTAAGGACAGCATTTCCTCTTATCTTTGTCTTGATCTTGAAATGTTTTTTTAAATGATGTTTTTTCACCTTATGTTTGTATTATATTTCCTCCACTAGCATAAGTTCTACCTAGAAAATATTACAATAACAGAAGAGCATTCTACATCTGGAAAATTTTCCCTGTCAAAATGTTTTAGATATGTAAAAAATTGTACTTATTTTATATCCTTGCAATATCCTAGAGATAGCCCTTGAAGGATTTAATTTAGGGTCACAGCAAAGCCACTGAATTGCTCTTTCAAATGACTAAAACCACCTCCACATGGCTATCCTTCATAAACAAAAATTTTATAAAGTACTAACCCCCCAATAATCTTCCAGTTCCAATATATGGTTTAATGTTAAGTATCACATCAATGGGAACTGAATATATTCAGCAAAGAATGAAATTTTGTTTTTAACAGCAAGATTTCCCCCCACTTACTCATTTATCTCCAAGGCTTCATGAGCTGCAGAAATCCTAGCTTGGGGGTTCCTCTCTCTCCAGGCTTTCTGCATTACTATTCAAGAAAAAGGGGAAAAAGTAAGTCAATCAATATATGTAATTAGGAAGCCTCAATAGGGCCAATAGCTAAATTAGCAGCTTTCAGCTTAAATTATAAGAGAATGTTTCATTACTACAAGGGTTGGGCCAAATGCCCAAAGTCACACAAATACATTCAAATTTGCTATTCTATTTTTCTTCACTTGCTGATGGCAAACTTTTTTGTGCTCACAAAATTACAGGCTAAGAAAGTCAAGAAAAGGCAGAGATTTTGTATTTATTTTGCACATTCAGGTCATTTTCTCTTAGACAACATATTATCTTGTACATTCTGAGATGGCATCGCTCCTAATCTCTTTGTTCTCTTTGTCTCTTGTTAGACACATCATTTCTATTGGTCACTTTCCTGAGCATTTGCTATGGGCTTTGGATATTAGAATATTTAGAAATGATTTAAATTATTTTGAGTTGAGTTGGTAAAAGTACATTAGGCTTTTAACCAGCATGTGTACTTGGTCCCCAAATTTACCTGGAAACCCAATTTTAATATATCAGAGCAGTTTGTGAACATACTGTGGGAGGCTCAATGCTTGGGAATATCTATCATACTAGGAGGTCCCCCCACAACAAAGGGTACCTCTCAAAAAAAAAAAATAATAGTAATTTTTTATTGAATTGTTTTTATAAGTTGTATTTTATATGTAAGTTTCTTAAAAGAATGTAGATATTCCTATCTCTAAAGCTTTTTTCACCTACTTGCTTTGACTAAGTTTAATAACAAAAAAAACTCAGTAGAATTATTTGGAACTCAAGCAGTGTACAATGCATCTTAAACAATGTCTTTCTCTAGGAGAGAAAACACATATGGACATCCTAGCCACGGCCATGAAGCCATGCTGGTGGACTGTAAGTAGGCAGATAAGTCACTAAAATATATTCATGAATCATTTGGATTCAGTAAATCCCAATTTCTCCTTAGAATATCATTAAGGAGATAAAACCTTTCCTTCTATCTGAAATAAAAATTTAATTAGCTTTGTATAAGATTTATATTTCTTCAAGGTATATGAATCCAACATTGATATTTATTTTTAAATTATGTTTTATAGCCGGCTGTTATGGAGGGCGCCTGTAGTCTCAGTTACTTGGGAGGCGGAGGCAAGAGAATCTCTTAAGCCCAAGAGTTTGAGGTTGCTGTGGGCTGTGATGCCACGGCACTCCACCCAGGGCGACAGCTTAAGATTCTGTCTCAAAAAAAATAAATAAATAAAAATAAGTTATGTTTTAAATGATAATGAGATAACTCATTTCTACATTGATAACTCACTGTGATAAAGCTCAACTTAAGCATCAGCATTCTGGGCTCTCCTAGTCAATCGGCAATGTCATATTTTATTCGTTGGTGTTTTTATAAAGCAGATATTATAAAAGCAGAAACTTTGATTTTTAAAACAAGCCAAAACCCCTCCCATGCAGCAACTATCTGAAGGATTTTCCATACTTGCATCTGCAGGCCGCAGATGGTCCGAGTCACAAGTAAAGAATGTCTGGTGGTCCTGGGCAGAGAGATTCATGTCGTAGTAAGTAAGAGGTTCTCGTCCTGTCACCCAAGTATACCTGTAAAGTGTAAATGAGATGGTGGGATCCTTCTCAGAGACACAGCAAGCCCTACCAAATACTAAGCTGCACAGGGTTGAAACATAAACCATACTAAAAAAGCTTTCTTAAAAGTCATCCTATTCTCCCTTCAAGAATTGTGTCAGTAGGAAAGAAGTAAATATTTTCCCCCAAATTTTTGTCTCAAGATTTATTAGCTATTGCTAATGAAAACCTTCTCTAATTAGTATTATGAATTCTAATTTGTCTAATTACTTTGCTAAATTCCATTTCGACATAAGTTCTATGACATCTTTATAACTATGTCTGGGTAGGCTTAAAAATGTTTTGATTATTATTATTGTCATTGAAAAGAATAACTATAATAGAGAAATTCTAAAAACTACACATTTTTGTACATTATCCCAATTCCAATGCTAACCTATGAAACAGAAAGAAAAAAAATTTGAGGGCAGTATCAAAAAATGGAAACACTAAACAGACTGTTACGATGACCCCTAAATGAACCAGCAAAAACATTTGCTGCTGTCTTTGCTGTCTGAACCAGGCCCATTTGTTTCCCAAGTTGTCAAAATGCTTACCGATTATACTCGGCACCCCTAAATAAATTGAGTGGATTTCGCCATACTTTGCATTCTGCAATAAAGAGAAATACAAAACTGTTACACGCCAAGTTCAGTGACACCACAAGCTAATTAATCCAGCAAAACACCCTTCCTGGCCATTTGATAAGATAATTTCCTTCTCTAGCCTTTACAAGGGAAGCAATGTGGAAAAATTCTGGGTGGTTAATCAGAAAATGTGGCTCAGGCACCAGGACTTTGGAAAGTTTCGCCTAATCTCTCTGGACCTGAGTTTCCTCACTTGCCAATTCAAGGTACATGCCAAAAGCAGCCAGTTCATAATAACTTCTATAGTTATTTGAAAAAGAGAAACGTATTTGATGAATTTAATTCTAAAATTATAGGTAAGAGTACAGATAGAAGTAAAACTATTTTCAGTTACAAAATACAGAATGATGTCATCCATGACAAGCGAAACTGAAGCTCTAGAGAATGGTATGATAAGAGCCTTAAGACTCTTAACTCAGATTATGCAAATACTGATTTTGTGACAATTCACCAGACTGCTTTTGCCTTAATGGGAAAGGAGTGATAGGAAAATTAATAAGGTTACCATTATTAGAGAAGTGCTATGAAAATTGTTTTAAGGCATTTTAATGTCATTTACTGAGACACTGTACTAATCAGCACATGAATGTCATAATGTTACCATGTACTAACAGATTATACCTCTTCATTATCCCAGGACCATGGAAATTTAGATCCATAGAAATTTAACTCAGAAAAGTCAACCATTAGCTTTAAGTCTGTGTTATAGCAAGCATGTGACTAAGAAGCAGCAATTCTTTCAAAACACCCTATGATTAAGACTTTCTACTGATTCAGAATACAAGATTTCTTTGGGTGAATAAGGTTTTATTAGAAAATAAAATCAGTTAACAATACTCAAAACATCTACGTGTTTGTGTGTGTAACCAGCCAAAAACACACCCAACGATACACACACACAAAAGTGAGCAATTACTGCAGAAGTCCAGAGGGTATCGAAGGCCCTGTAGGGATTCATGAGGATTCTTCCCTCAGTACTGCACAGCCAACATTCATCCATCCATCCACTGGGCATTAATTTGAGCACCCAGTGGGGTAAACAAGTAACCTATCAATTTCCATACAGTGTGAGAACTGGAACACAAAGCAATGTGGAAATGTGTGTGTACTCTCCAAAATATTTATCAAAACAGTGAATGAAGGATACACACATAACATGAATACACATTTTCATTTATAGAGTTTACCTTTAAATCAGAGCAAGATCCCACTTAGAATTGACTCAATGTTTATATATAATCGTCATAAATTTTTTGCCACTTAGTTTAACTTGTCATTTAGGAAATCTTCTTCCCTTACTTAGTTCAGCATCTATCTCTGAATTTTGTTCTTGAGAAACTGAGATTTGATGGCTGTATCTTGTTAGGGCACTAACTAGAAAATCATGCTTCCCTAAATTACCTTTGTGTGTGTAACCAGCCCCAAACACACCCAACAATACACACACACACACACAAATGAGCAAATACTGCAGAACTGCAAAGGATATTAAAGGCCATGTGGTGATTCATTAGGATTCATACCTTTTCTCCAAACATAAGCCCCTTAGAGCAATCACTAACACACTGACTAATCATATCCAGATCGTGGCTTCAGATACATTGTTGATTCAAACAACCATGAACTCTACCCTTATAGCTTTCATACCCCTCAAGACCTCATCACTGCCAACCTCTCTTCTGAAAATCTCTTTCAATATTTGAAGTGCTCTTGTTAAAGCTTCATGAATACTGCAAGATTCACATTTAGCATACACCAAGCACGCACACAAATTTATGTGTAAGGATCCACATACTAGAATTATTTATAATAAAACAAGGACAATTGGGAAGACACCTTTCCCCCACTGAATTTCATCTGAAATACTAAAAGGTTATAGCAAGCGGGGCACGGTGGCTTCACACCTGTAATTCTAGTAGCCTAGGAGGCTGAGGCAAAAGGATTACTTGAGGTCAGGAGTTCAAGACCAGTCTGAGCAAGAGAGAGACACCATATCTCTACCCAAAATAGAAAAGATTAGTTGGATGTGGTGGCACATGACTGTAGTCCCGGCTATTCAGAAGGCTGAGGCAGGAGTACCCCTTCAGCCCAAGAGTTTAAGGTTGCAGTGAGCTATGATGATGTCACTGCACTCTCTGGGGTGACAGGAAGAGTCTCAAAGAAAAGAAAAAGGCTTTGGAAAATATTTTGTTTTCAACAAGAATATTATCATACTGTCTGGAAAGATAAGTGCTTTTCAAATATCAATTGACAAATTACAAAGAAAACTTCTTTCAATTGAAATGTCAACTTGGCTGGGCACATTGGCTCACACCTGTAATGCTAGTACTTTGGGAAGCTGAGGTGGAGGATCACCTGAGGCCAGGAGTTTGAGACTAGCCTGGGGAACACAGTGAGACCTGTCTCTATAAAAATTTTAAAATGTTATCTTGGCACGGTGGCACATGCCTATACTCCTACGCTGAGGCAGGAGGATCACTTGAGCCCAGAAGTACCAGGTTGTAGTAAGTTGTAATTATGCCACTGCCACTGCACTACAGTCTGTCTTTCTAGCAAAAATAATTCAACACTATTATGTATGTTAAATGTAAATAAAATTGTTTCTTAACAAAAAATAACTTCAAAGAGAAACGGTGTGTATATCTAAAGAGTTCACTGAGCAGTGTCTAAACATGTGGTCTTAATTTAGGAAGTGTCACAATATAGCCAGCAGGGGGTGCAGCAAACATTATAAAATACTGTGTCTTCTCTTAGAGAACTGAACTTAAAAAACAATTTGTTAAACTGGTGTCAAATATGTGTACTGCAGTGAGTTTTTTAACTATCCTGGAAAGTTAGTAACTAATGGATCTGAGTAACTAATGGATGTAAAATGTTCTAAGTGAGAATTAAACATGTAATGAAAAAGTTTGTAAACGTCTTTGCTAATTATAGCCTTCAAATTCCGGATGCAGAGCAGGTATATTTTCCTTTTGAGAAATAAGCAATCTAGACATCAAATGAGAACTCACGTCAAAGTTTCACTTAAATCAGGTCATGAGCTGGGTGAGTTGCCTTGTGCCTATAATCCCAGTGACTTGGGAGGTTGAAGTGGGAGGATCACTTGAGCCCAAGAGTTTGAGACCAGCCTGGGCAACACAATGAGATTCTACCTCTAAAAACAACATTTTTTAAATTGCCAGGCACAGTGGTGCACGCTTGTAATGCCAGCTACTGGGAAACCTGAGGCAGGAGGATTGCCTGGGCCCAGGTTGCAGTGAGATCTGAGCATGCCACTATTCTTGGCAATAGAGTAAGACATCTCTAAATAAAGTTACATCTATGTTAATTTCTTCTTTGCTGCTCCATTCCATACTCTTATCTTTACTACAAACTAAAACCAAACCAAACCAAAACAAACAAACAAAACCCCCACCTCTCCTAATCTAGAATCACTGTAGGGAACATACTCCATAAATATCAGGCTGCCTGATAGATAGTTTAGTGTAATGGACAAAGGGTATAAATGCCAAACCTATTAGCATATGAAGATTTAAGTCTATAAATTAAATTCAGATACCCCGAGGATAAATAAGCATTTGTTATTCATACCTTTGTGAAATAAATTCCTTATTTCAGATCAGATTTAAAATTTTACCTTCAAAGGGAATTTTCCGTTCTCCATTAACACCAACAGTGTTAGTGCCTTTGGGAAGCAACAGCTGACTGGGGCTCCAGTGAGCGTTTACTAACACCATTAACCATTTAGTTAAAAAGTGTGCCTGGGATACAATAAATGTGCTCTGTACAGTTCCACCTGCAGCAGTACACGGTACAATCTCTGCCGGCAACTGCTGACAGGAATGTTCCACCCTCAGCACATATGCACGGATGACATTCAAGGAAAAAAGGAAGTGGGAAATAATGGAATAGCAAGCACTTGTGTTCCCAAAGTCTGCAGAACAGTCTCTCCCCTTTGTCATAATGATGACTACAAGTTTCTGTCTGGGAGACAAAGAACATAAAAAACAATGCTATTACCACTAAGGAGTTCTAAAAGCAAGCTCCTATCAATCTTCCATCTCACCAATCCCCACTCGAACCTTCCACAGCAATCAGGTTTACTCGGGCCTCTTCACACTCAGCTGCTCCTCTAGAATGCACGCCCCGTCGTTCATACGGCTGTTTGGTTTACATGTTTAATGTACTGATCATGCAGTAAGCCCTAAACTAGGCCTTGAGTTACAAAAAAAAAAAAAAAAAAAGATACAGCTTACAATTTATAGGGATTTGTAGCCTTGTCAGAAAAGTGAAAAGGATATTGAACCACCACCTGGTGTCCACCTGAAGCATCTCTACAGAAGGAGTAAGGGAGAGAACCATAGACTGTTCCCTTTGTCACAGTCCTCAAGAAAAAGAGAACTCAGTTCTCAGAAAAATCAAAAGCCTCCAAAGTCACAAGTCTTTTAATCCCATGAAAGAAAATATTATTCTATATCCAACTTAACTTAGAAAACTTTTTTCTAAAATTATGAAAAGAAAAAAATCTATCTTCATAGAGACTTCAAAATATCTAAATGGCTAAATTCATAGCCTAGGAAGGTTTTTTGCACTAAAAAAGTTATACTTCTTCCCAGATAATAGTGGCAGTATTATACAAACAGCAGCAATACCAACTTTCATCATAGCTATAAGCTTGATTTTCATTGATTCTGTAAAGGGACTTAAAGCTTAATTTATCTATATTCCTTACATAAATTAGCGAGAGGTATATATTAGGATCTTTTTTTTTTTTTTTTTTTTTTTGAGACAGAGCCTCAAGCTGTCCCCCTGGGTAGAGTGCCGTGACATCACAGCTCAGAGCAACCTCCAACTTCTGGACTCAAGCGAGTCTCTTGCCTCAGCTTACCAAGTAGCTGGGACCACAGGCACTGGCCACAACACCTGGCTATTTTTTTGGTTGCAGCTATCATTGTTGTTTGGCGG